GAAAACATGTTCGAATCCACAATGACCGGGCATTCTGATTGGATTAAATAATTGCCATGTAATTCCATTTCTTGTAATTTTGGGTTTTCACATTGTTCCAAAATTTTAGTTGGTTTTCCAGCATGTAGAATTAGTCCTCCATTTTCCATTTCTTCTACCAGAGTTGCTTCTTGGATATTTTTGACGTATTCACACTGGTCGTTCAGTCGGCAGCGTGAATTATGGAAATTTATAATAAATGATAAATTTTTTATTTGGAATGGTGAGTCTGTCCAAACAAAATTTGAGGTGACGTAAGATGCGGGAGGTAATAAGAAGATTTCCTGTGCATTAGGAATAACGTGTATTTTAAATAATATTTCGGGGGTTTCGTGAAAAATTGGAAACCTTATTAGGAAAATAATAGATTGTTTAGTACTAACAATCCTTACATTTAGAAGTGGTATTACTTCATAAAGAGAATTTTTAAGGTATATAACAGATTTAATTGAAAATAATTGCAAAAGTTGTCGTGATAAGGACTGGTAATTTTCCTGAGGTAAAATTTCAAGGTTTAATATATTTTGCTTAGCTAGTGTAATTGCTCTTTCTATCAGTAGAATTTTATCTACTATTTCCTGTGTTAAAAGAATGTAAAATTGTATTTCTTCATTTTCTACAACGTCCTTTGTTTTGTTTGTCATGAACACTGTAGCATTGTTTATATATTGTTGAATCTGTTGTATATCATTATTTAATTTATTTGTTATTTCATTCGAAATTGATGAGTACCTATTTTGCACTCGCACAATTTCACTTTGTTTTTCTTCAAGAGCTTTTATATTGTAATTTATTTGTTCTAAATCATCATTATCAGGATTGCCTGTAATGAATTTAATTCCAGTTCCCAAGAAGTTTAGTAATCCTCTTTTAGTAATAAAATGATTAATTTTGGCGTATTGTTGTTCAAAGAATGCGAGACGTCTTTCTAATAATCGAAGTGCTGGACCATTTCTTTTACTTTCTCCAATTTTATATTTGATAAGAGTAGCAGCATTTAATAGTTTTAAATATGACGAATACAATGAAGAGTGATTGACAGCGAAATATATTGTGTGATAGTGATTAAATATGTATGCAGGTCCTAACTCTTCTTTTAAATATCCAGCGGTAGTGTTAATTTCCTGGATCCTGAGGTTCTCGGCTGGAAGAGGCTTCCAACTGATCCTGTAAAGAAATTTCTTTTCTTAGTCTTCTCATTTGAGATAAATGACGGTTGGTAGATTTCTTATTTTTCTCTGGGGTGATGTTAAGTATGTTTTTGTCATTTTTATTTCCAAATGTGGCAGGTTGATACTTATTTGTTGATTTTCGCTGTGGTTGAGTCCTTACAAATACTCTTTCCTGTGTTATTTCGACATTGGCATCATTTCTGTTTCTATTAACGTAATTGAGGCGTTTCTGTGCTCTCTCTTTTTGTTTTTGAAATAATTGCTCGTAAAATTTTATTAATTCTTTTCGTCTATTTTGAACATATTCATGCATTGAAGGTTTTTGTAAAGAGGTTCTTAGTGGATCAATTTCTTTAAAAGGTCCGTATAAAATTTCAAAAGGTGTAAAATCGGTTGAAGAGTGAATGCTATTATTGTACATATATACTGCAGTTTGTACATTATCCTCAAGAGTGCTCTCTAGATCATTTTCTCGTAAAATTCTTAATTTTTCTGCTAGAGTTCGATGAAATCTCTCTACGGGTGAATTCGAATTAGGGTTGTAAGGTGTGGTTAGATGAACATCTATATTAAATGCGTTTAGATATTCCTTGAAATGTATGTTGTCAAATTCTTTTCCATTGTTTGTTACAATCCGTTTGGGTAAATTATAATGCATTATGTAATGTCTAAATTTTCTTAGTATTTCCAATGCATTTGTTGTTTCTAATTGGTATTCGAGAGCATGCTTACTAAAAAATCCAATAATGTCAAGAATTTCGTTTGTCTAAATTGATATACATCCATGTGAACAATTTCGAATGGTTCTTCAGCAAGTAAAGGTTCTTGAAACGGTGGCCTATATGGGTGACATTCTTCTTTGGCTGTTAGGCAAATTTCACATTTATTTACTATATTACTTATAGTATCTTTCATTTTTTGCCAATAAAATTTTCTTCATAGTTTTTTATACCTGTATTCATAGTAGTGTGATATTGTTTGGTAATGTCTAGTTGTTCTTCTAATGTAGTGATATTTTCTAATTTTTGAGTACATTTTATTAATTTAAATGGTATTGTTTCATAATTAGGTTGTAATGTTTCAACCAGTTGTTTTTCTAAACTTTCATCTTCAAAATATATTCCTATTCTTGTTAAATCGTTCATTAACTGAATTTGTGATACCAAGTAGTCTATATTTCTACATTTAANGTGGTTGAGTCCTTACAAATACTCTTTCCTGTGTTATTTCGACATTGGCATCATTTCTGTTTCTATTAACGTAATTGAGGCGTTTCTATGTTCTCTCTTTTTGTTTTTGAAATAATTGCTCGTAAAATTTTATTAATTCTTTTCTTCTATTTTGAACATATTCATGCATTGAAAGTTTTTGTAAAGAGGTTCGTAATGGATCAATTTCTTTAAAAGGTCCGTATAAAATTTCAAAAGGTGTAAAATCGGTTGAAGAGTGAATGCTATTATTGTACATATATACTGCAGTTTCTGCATTATCCCCAAGAGTGCTCTTTGGCTCATTTTCTCGTAAAATTCTTAATTTTTCTGCTAGAGTTCGATGAAATCTCTCTACGGGTGAATTCGAATTAGGGTTGTAAGGTGTGGTTAGATGAACATCTATATTAAATGCGTTTAGATATTCCTTGAAATGTATGTTGTCAAATTCTTTTCCATTGTTTGTTACAATCCGTTTGGGTAAATTATAATGCATTATGTAATGTCTAAATTTTCTTAGTATTTCCAATGCATTTGTTGTTTCTAATTGGTATTCGAGAGCATGCTTACTAAAAAATCCAATAATGTCAAGAATTTCGTTTGTCTAAATTGATATACATCCATGTGAACAATTTCGAATGGTTCTTCAGCAAGTAAAGGTTCTTGAAACGGTGGCCTATATGGGTGACATTCTTCTTTGGCTGTTAGGCAAATTTCACATTTATTTACTATATTACTTATAGTATCTTTCATTTTTTGCCAATAAAATTTTCTTCATAGTTTTTTATACCTGTATTCATAGTAGTGTGATATTGTTTGGTAATGTCTAGTTGTTCTTCTAATGTAGTGATATTTTCTAATTTTTGAGTACATTTTATTAATTTAAATGGTATTGTTTCATAATTAGGTTGTAATGTTTCAACCAGTTGTTTTTCTAAACTTTCATCTTCAAAATATATTCCTATTCTTGTTAAATCGTTCATTAACTGAATTTGTGATACCAAGTAGTCTATATTTCTACATTTAATTTCGTAAATGGGGTTTTTAAATACTCTTCTTTTAATAGTATAATTTGTTTCTCCTGAATTAACAATGATTTGTTGTTTAAATGTATTAAGTGGTTCCTCACTGATATTTAAATTAATTACGGGGCTTTTAGCAGCTGTATGGGCTGTTTGACTTGAATTGTCAGATCTATTATTCCAGTACTCTTCCATTACACTATCTATATTTTCTTCTAATTCTGAATCTTCAACATTAGGTAACATGGATAACATATCAACCTGTTCGGGTAATAATTTGTTTCTCCTGAATTAACAATGATTTGTTGTTTAAATGTATTAAGTGGTTCCTCACTGATATTTAAATTAATTACGGGGCTTTTAGCAGCTGTATGGGCTGTTTGACTTGAATTGTCAGATCTATTATTCCAGTACTCTTCCATTACACTATCTATATTTTCTTCTAATTCTGAATCTTCAACATTAGGTAACATGGATAACATATCAACCTGTTCGGGTAATAACGTTTCTCTGGTATTTATTTCAACTCTACTAAGTGCATCGGCGACAAAGTTTTGTTTTCCTTTTATGTGACTTATTTCAAATTCGTATTCTAACATCATTACTTTATATTTTTGAAATTTTGCATTAAGTCCTTTAGCATTCATTAACCATACCAAAGGTTGATGGTCAGTTTCAATTGTAAATCTTTTTCCTAGTAAATATGGTCGAAAATGTTTGCACGCCTGTGTTATAGCAATAAGTTCTTTTTCAATTGCAGATAAGTTTCTTTGATGATTAGTTAGTGTTTTCGAATAAAATGCAATTGGTTTATTTTCTTGTGAAAGCACTGCTCCTATTGATACATTTGAAGCATCAGTTGTTAATTTAAACGGCTTATTATAATCGGGAAATGACAATACGGGTGCGTTGCATAAAATTTCCTTACATTTATTAAAACAGTTGATAAATTCTTGCTCTTTATTATTTATAATTGTTCCTTTTTTCAATCTCTTGTTTAATGGAGCTGTTAATTTTGCAAAGTCTTGTATAAATTTTCGATAATATCCTATAAGTCCTAAAAATGATTTTAAACTAGTTCGATCATGAGGTATTGGGAAATTTTTAATGGCTTTCAGTTTGTCGGGATTTGGTGAAACTCCTTCAGCAGTAACAACATGTCCTAAAAATTGTACCTCTTTGCGCAAAAATTCACATTTATCAGGTTGTAGTTTGAGATTATACTGTTTTAATTTTTCAAAGATAAGTTTAAGATGATATAAGTGTTCTTGCAATGATTTTGAGAATATTATAACGTCATCGATATACACAAAACAGAATTTGTATATATAGGGTCGTAGAATATTTTCCATAACTCTCTGGAATGTTGCGGGTGCATTTTTCAAACCGAATGGCATCCGAAGATACTCATAGTGTCCTCCTTCTACAGTAAATGCGGTCTTTTCAACAGATTTTTCGTCGATTTCTATTTGGTGGTATCCCTGAGCTAGATCGAGAGTAGAAAAATAGGTACATCGTCCTAAATTGTCCAAAATTGTATCAATGCGCGGTAAAGGATACTTATCCTCCACGGTTACCTGGTTTAATTTGCGATAGTCTATTACCATCCTATATTTTCGTTTTCCACTTGCGTCTTGCTTTTTTGGTACAATCCACACGGGTGATGAATATGGCGATATGGAAGGTTGAATAATATTCTTCTTTAATAAATCTTCAATTTGTTGTTTTATATGTTCCTTCAGGTGGTAAGGATGTCTGTAGCCTTTGACGTAAATTGGGTCATCATTAGTTGTTGTAATGTTATGTTTAACAGCGTTTGTGAATGTTAGTCCTGTTTTGTTATCATAAAATATGTCGTGGAAGTCATTTATCAGTTTCATTATTTTTGCCTTTTCTTCTATGTTCATATGGGAAACTCTGATTAATTCGCTAATGTCTGCTAAATTTTCAGGTTGGTTGAATGGAAATACTTTTGATTCTTCATAAGCATCCATAGTCTCTACTTGTACAGGTTCATCAAATGTATAACTTGTTTCTTCGTTACATGGGATATTTACTATGCCATTTTCTGCATTTGCTAATACTTCCATACTTTGTTCTAAAGGGTGTTTGAATATAACTTGTCCAAAATTTATATCAACTGGTACTGATAAAATTTTATTCTTTGTCTTTACCTTCGTTGGAACAAATACTGTAGGATTAGTGTATGTATTCATTTTAAAAGTTTTGCCTTTAAGTTTAATTGTATCATTCTTCATATCTATTTGAGCATCCAAATTTGCGAGGTCTTTAGTTCCTAAAAGTCCATCAAATTTTGTATGCCAGTCAAGTAGGCGAAAGTGTATATTTTCGTTAATTCCTAAGTCTTGTAAGAGCGGTAATTCACAGTTATAGGTCGCGGTATGTATAGCCTTCACTGATTTTATCCAAAAAGGTTGAATAAAAATACTTTCAGGTGGGTGGTAATTTGTCAATTAGATTTTCATTTAGTAAGGAATTGTCGGCTCCTGTGTCTATAAGAATTTTTAAACCGTTAGGAAGGGTAATAAAGGGTAGTTTTGAAATTTGTTGAAGGTGATTAGTATCCACTACGTCTTCTGGTCTATAGAGGCAGTCGTCGTAAAATTTTCTTCATTTTCAACTTCCTCAGTTAATTCTTCTGGCTCTTCTCGTAATTGTTGTTGATAGAATTCTGCGTATTCTTCTGGGGTCATTAACTCCGGTTCTTCAACGTTAGAAACGTCCATAGGTTCTTCTTTTCGTTGATAAGATGAAAATTGTGGTCTAGGAAAAGTATTTCTCGTGGATGTTGACATAGCTGTTGGGTGTTGTCTGCTAGTTTTGTGGCGAAAATACATTTTTTGGTTTTCCAAAAACTTGTTCATTAGAAGGGAAATGAGTTTAACTGGTCTTGTTTGATATTGTATGGGTCCTGTAGGGAAGCTTGACGTATTTTGTGTTCGTTGGAAGAAGTGATTATTTGTTACAGGTGTCTGACGAGGTTTTACGGGAAAAACTGTTGGTTTTGGCTTACTGAATGTATTATGAACCAAATAACGTTGTTCATAAGTTACACATTTATCGTAGGCATCTTTAAGTGATGTAGAATTAGAATAACTCAAGTAGGTCCTAAATGGTTCTTTAATATTTATCAAAAATATATGCAAAGCTCGATCTTCATATCCTACCATTTTGTCAAGTGCGTTATCCATGTTAAGTGGTTTG